GCTGACAGGCTCTTTGTTTTGATCCTAAATGTTTTATTTGTTACATTCGCCGTGAACCAATCTAGGACTTCACTTAGCGAGCGCGTTGCCGGCAGTGTTAAATATTTGATTTCTTTGCTGAGCGCAGTGGTATTATGTCACGAGTTATATAAGGCCTCGGGAGGCGCTGGTTTCAGCTGATAAGATTTTACTGTGTCAGGTTAAATAAAACGTGTTCTGTGTCGCTTATCGTTCTCAATAACATACTTTTTATAATGCTATAAAACAAATTTAAAAATAATCAGCGATAGGTCTGTTACTCTGCACATAGAAGCACCTGGTACTGCTTTCTGTTATTTGATATAGGAACGCCATTGTGTGTTTAGTAAGAAAGGATATTGTGCAAATCGAGCACAGAGCTTGTGGGCAGTCACATGTGCTTCTGAAAGACATCTAGATTTTGAACAAAGAGGCATTTTTTTTGCAGATTTTGAGCTGCTGGTACCGTGGGAGGATGCAATAAGGAAGCATTTGAGTGCTAGTTGACTGATGCAGCTGTCTCAGGGCCTTAACACAAACCAGTGACACTCTGATCAACCCTGGCAGGGCCTCCTTGGATGAGGGTGTCTGGTGATAATGGCCGAAACACCCAATGAATCCAAGGTCCACTACTGACGATGTGTCCCACATTTTAATATGATAATCTAGATCAGATCTCTAATCCCTAAAGCTAACCAAGGAAGGTAAAAATGGCAGATTATTTTGGGTAAAAGACCGAAACACCCTGAATGAATGTGATGTCCTGCGACTCAGCTCAGTTTGCCTTCTGTTAAAATCCACTCAGCTCCAAGAAATATTCAAATCCACACAGCCCTGTTTCTGCTTTTGTTTGAAAACATCTGTTTTGTTTTCATGGAGTCATCAGTCTGATGATGACACCACACCTGGGTTATTTTTCACTCGCAGACGTGCCGTCAGGTTGATGCCCGATATCTTTAGTGCAGAGCAGCGTGGCTGTTGGTTACCGCAGCCGATAATCGAATGACTCAGTTATCACCGAGTGCTTGTTCACACATTAGCCACGTCCATGTTTAACTTTCATATCGTTTCTGGCATAACACGCTGACTCACTCGACAGATTTAGCGGCGACTCCTTCTGCCGTCGTCTCATGTCATGAAATTTACACATTAGTTTTCTGTAACTCGGTCACACGGAGCATCCAGAGGGAAACGCCGCTCTGCCGCTTCGTAAGCCTGTGGGGAACAGCACATCGTTCAGCACAAGAAAGCCTCGGGCGTTACGTTAGTTAATTTTCTGTTCATTATACTCGAGTGCTGCTCTGTGTCTGATAAGGCAGATCGGTCTCCTTCAGTAATAGAAGCTTTTATTTCGCCCTCTCGTGCCTAATGTTAGTGAAATATGAATCTTTGTTTTCATGTGTTGCATTAATTTGAACGCACCGCCTTCGCTTGCTCTTTATGTTCATCGGACACTTTAAAAAATCTTCTTATTGATCAGTAATTAGAATTCTTTGTCCACATCACAGTGACAAAGAAAGATTTCTCTGTGCTTATTGGCAGGACCGGTGAGGGAAAAGGGAAACATGAATATAAATTAGGGCTGCCACGATTAGTCGACTAGTCACGATTACGTCGGCTATCAAAAT